CCGGTTCCGGTGCAAATGTTATGCTACTCACACATCGCAGAATTTCGCAATCCATGACGGTTTACCCCCGTCTCTAGACCATAATCCTTTTCACACTGCTTTTGTTCTTTAATTATGATTATTGTTCCCGTATTCTCTAAGGAATCAAAAATTTTAATATAAATTTTAAACCAGCCAGACACATGGTGCAACATCATGGTGGCATGTAACATTGAGAGCAACAGTTGCAAAGTGTGCCCTAATCTTAAGAGAAAGGTGTGAAAAAAAGGGTTGAAACCTCACCAGTCCCTCATTAGGGACCTTAAGCTGCAGGACGGCAACGTGGGCGACAACGTCGGCGAAATTGAGGCGCTTCGACCTTCTATTGTATTGTTGTTTCGTGTTTACCTAGTATTTTATTTAATGAACATCCCCGTTTTGGAGTGAAATGACGTCTTTTGGGAGCGCTTTACTTATACCGAAAATCAGCAAAGATAAGCTTTTGGCGTAGCCGTTCTTTTTAGCACGTAAAAATAGGACATTCCACGTCTTACTTTCAGCATAAGACGGTAATGATGCACATTATTTCGTACATTCCAACGAGTATCTATTGAATAGCGCAATTAGTATTATTGTATGGTTACCGTCGTCGTCGTCGTTGCCGTCCTGCAGCTTAAGGTCCCTCATTACCAAGATGCTGAGGTGAAGCAATTTAACAGGCATGCGCAAACATGTAAAAATCAAGAGTAAAAGAATTTGCTATCATATTTTTGGTAACAAGTAGAGTACAAACACTATAAGTGTGCAACATAAATACCATTAAATACTGCTGGATGTTATCACATCAAAAGTAGTATTAATGTACAGGAGGATTACAAGGTTCCATAACATTTAAGTTTTCCTAGGGTGTGGTAACCTTTCTCACGTGAATCACCTGTATCTCCGAACCTTAACTGAGTCACGGGTAGAGTAGATTTATCAGTCAGTAATCCACTATCACTGTGCCATTCACTATGACTACCAATCTTATTACAGTTACAGCCACTTGACTTACTCTGGCATGAGTTGGTCATACCACACGCACACTTGCCACTACCAGGGGTAGCCCCACCCCAGTAGTTTTGTCTCACATTATCACGTGACATCCACCACCCATAACCGTCTGCTATAAATGCTACATCCCCTTGGCACTCAAAGTTTACAAATTGTTCACAGTTTCGCGAAACCTTAGTTAGTGCAGCTACCTGATTCATAGTTACTCCTGTGTAGTGGATGTCCCGTCTGTATGAACCTGGAGGTTCCAAACCATTGACTAAGGTTCTAGCCTCGCTATCATGACTGATGACAGTCACCCCTACCCCACCCTTGTCAGTCATGTCACAGTACACACTAAAAGATGATAAGCCATCGGGACTTATTAAATATTTGCCAGATAACATCATAGAAAAATTTGCTTTCATTGCACTGCATGATTTGAATGGATTCTGCAAGTTGAGAGTCGTCTGAGCAGTCATAGAACGACGTGGGTTCCTGACATGACAAACGTAGACACCCAAGTCTTTCAATGTAAATCTGGGTATCACCAAAGTCCCATTCTTGTGCAGGATGATAGATGCAGGTACAGGTTTGTTATTCTTCACCCAGTAAATCTCTGTTGCACCAGATACTTTACAGTGAATTGCCACCGTTTCTCCATACTTATGTCTGCTCTCATTCACTGGCTTTATCTTGAACATCAAAGCCTCGAAGACCATTACTTGAACTCGTGATATTTTCTTTCCCAAAGCATTATCTGCTTCACATACATAGTACCCATTCTCTGCTATCGTTATTTTCGTGATCGTTAGTTCACCTGTTTGTTTTTTGCTTCTATTTTCCGGGATTCGTCCATATGCTTTGGACCAGGTTATGGTAGGTGAAGGGACACCAGATGCTTGGCATCTTAAAGTAACATTGGCTCCTTCCTCGACTATCTGTGAACTGGTTATGTGTACTATCTTTGGAGGAACTGAGAAAATGTTGCAAATTAGTACATGTCGAAGTAAATATGACATTTGAATGCTGGAAACATTTTGTTTTGTTTGTTCGTTTTTTACTTGTTGTACGCACAGGTTCTAGGTACTGGGGCCCCGTGTCCGATCCTTGAACTTAATTGCAAGTGCAAGGCCACAATCAAATATTGATAAATAGGATACCCTGTACATACCCTGTACAATCAATGTAACATTAGCTTGTGCCACACCCAAAGCACTTCTAGCCACACAGGAGTAGATTCCTTCATCATCTGAAGTCACATCTTTGATTGACATCCCACTGACATGAACCTCATGACGTCTTTTAGAAAAACTTCCATTCAGTTTTACCCACGTGACCTTCGGAGGTGGGGTACCCTTAGCAACACATGGCAGCCATGTGGTGTCACTCACATTTGCAGTGATTGTCTTTTGAGGGACATGAATCGAAGGGGCTGAGACAGGAGGGCCCTGTTTTCCGGGTAGTCCCCTTGGACCTGGGGGACCAATAGGACCTTGATCTCCCTTAGGTCCTGGCGGACCAGGAACACCCATGGGGCCTTGAGGACCGGCAGGACCATGTTTTCCAATGTTGCCTTGTCTTCCTGTTCGTCCCAGCTTCCCTGGTGGCCCGGGTGGTCCTCTCCTCCCTCTGCGACCCCTGGGTCCTCGCAGGCACATTCTCAGGTTTGTGGTACCGCATCCTTCCTTCTTGAGAATCGATGTAAGTTCTGTTTTTATGTGTTGACGAATTTGGAGAGAACTGACGGACGAATCGTTCAGTGAATTTCTCTCGCTGTTTCTTCTAACCCTTAAAGATGTATCTGAAATAGCCATGAGACCAGAGACAATCAATACGATTAGTAAAGCCATTTGAAATTGCGATCAAAATTAACTAATTCGTGGCTCCATCTTTGGGTACCTATTTTGATATATCAAAACGTCCCGCGTTCTTCAATAGAACAAATCTAACAAAGAATACAATATGGATTTGCGGTACATGCAGAAGTACCTCTATTTAACGTTTTTGGCGAAAACTCACATCTGAGAAGTTTTAAATCAGTCGAAAAGATTTTCTCACCTTGAATATCGTTGTGCTTTATCAGTGTATTTGATTCTTTGTCAGGTTTGTTTAGTATTCGTTGTGCCGCTTCCGCTGTCTTCGTTGTTTTCTGGCAACTGCTTTCTTTCAGGAAAAACACCTCGTGTGCATACAGTTTATATTCAACGTGTAGAACACCAACGAAGCACAGCAAAGACAAGAACAAAGCAGCACTAGRCGTCAGGGATGTCTTCTCTTGTTTCATTGTAAGTTGCTCTATACTTCAGCATACAAACAAGTAAAGAACTAATACTTGTGGAGTACAATTGACGAATGAAACACGCCTATGCTTATAGTAACTAAGCACGGGTTTTGCTCAGTGTGATCAAGACTGATGTAACCTTAACGGATAGGGTACGTATCACGCGAAGACAGAACATTCTGGCAAACATTTCTTATCGCGGCCCGTCTTCCCCTTGTAACATTATTTGCACTTTTACTTCCGGTTCCGGTGCAAATGTTATGCTACTCACACATCGCAGAATTTCGCAATCCATGACGGTTTACCCCCGTCTCTAGACCATAATCCTTTTCACATTGCTTTTGTTCTTTAATTATGACTATTGTTCCTGTATTCTCTAAGGAATCAAAAATTTTAATATGAAAGAATTTTTAAAACAGCCAGAATAAGACACATGGTGCAATATCATGGTGGCATGTAACATTGAGAGCAACAGTTGCAAAGTGTGCCCTAATCTTAATAGAAAGGTGTGAAAAAAAAGGGTTGAAACCTCACCAGTCCCTCATTACCAAGATGCTGAGGTGAAGCAATTTAACAGGCATGCGCAAACATGTAAAAATCAAGAGTAAAAGAATTTGCTATCATATTAGTTTGGTAACAAGTAGAGTACAAACACTATAAGTGTGCAAAATAAATACCATTAAATACTGATGAATTATGCTAATCCTATTGTTTTCTATTGTTTAATTAGCACTATTTACTACTAAATAGTGCAAAGTGTTGCACACTTTTAGTGTTTGTAGTCTAGCGATTATTTTGATTATGTTTCATTATTTAATAAAAAAAACCAGCTATTTCCGTGCTCCGGTTCAGTAATAAAGCACGAAGGAAGTGTAAGAAGGAGGACGAGCCGTAGGCAAGTGCTCCTGACATTTCTTGAGTGCTTACGGCACTTCCTAAGTGCTTTATTGCTGAATGAATGGACCTTGGAAAAAGCTGTTTTATTCGTTTTATTATATAGTCACTAATTTTATTTTGGTATTGAATTTATTTACGCAAAAAGAAAGACAGTCGCAGGATCTAGCAGCACTTTGTGTGCGCAGCAGATGGCATCTGCACTGTGCTCCGTTCACTACTAAAGCACAGTTTTTCAACCAAACAGTGCACGCGTACTATCCTAACTATATAATAATATAGAATGTTGGTGATCAACAGGTAAGAAGCCCTCCATCAACAGGCAACAAGGCACCACTGATCATGGAAGCTTTGTCACTCAGCAGGAACAGTATGGCATTCACAACCTCTTCCTCTTCTGTAACCAGAGCAAAAAACCCATTAAATCTTTTACATCAATTAGTGGACTGAATTTATCTATCATTGAATTTTCCCATTTCACATGGCATTGTGGGTAATCCAGGCATCCAGGGGGCAAATAGATAAAGTTTTGTAGGATTTTGTACTCCAGCTCATGAAAACCGACTGTTAAAATTCAGTCCTCACCTGCAAACCTTCCCAGTGGTATTCTATTAAGCAGAGGACCGGCTTTGGCTTCATCTGACCAGGCAAGGCGTCCCATGTCAGTCATTACTGCCGTAGGGTTTACAGCATTTACTCTTATCTAGTAGTAAAATATTAATAATGATAATAATAATCATCATTATAACCTTCACTACTATCATTACCACTATCTACTTCATCATCAACATCAGCACTATCATCCACATCAGTGTAAAGCACTTCCTTGCTATCATTAGCATCACCATCATTATCATCATCAGCATCATCATCATCATCATCATCATCAGCAGCAGCATCATCATCATCATCATCATCATCATCAGCAGCATCATCATCATCATTAACTTCAATCAGCATCACATTATTATTATTATCACCATCATCATCATCATCACCATCATCATTATCACCAGCATCATCATCACCAACATCATCATCACCATCACCATCATCCCCATCACCATCATCACCACCATCATCATCATC